AAAACACTTACTAAAAATAAATAAAATTCCTGATCTAAAAATTTTAAATTTCCTAATAATAAAAATTAACTAAAGCATAAATTGCTTGCAATGAAGGCATATACTTGAAGAAAGTTGTAAAAAAAAAAAAAGAAATATACGAGTATGATTCACAATGAGTAACATAAAATGTACTTATATATTTTGCTCAGTATTATAATGTTAATGTTTAAGTGATGCTTTGTTTGGAGAATATAGCTTATACTTCCCTATCACCCTATCTGTGTATTACTCATTATATTTCTTAACACTCTCTTCGGTGGAAAAGTTAAAAAAAAACTATTAATTTCTATAAATAATTAATTACTATTTTTTCTTTTTTTTTTTTTTTAATCTTGCTGTCCATATAAAATGTCAAAAATTTTACTGTTTTTACTACACTCAATCTCCGCTTCCTTTCACAAAATCTTCTCAGTCTCATTTTCTTACACATAAAAACTAGAAAAAAATAACTAAATTATTTTCTATTTCTTCACTTAGTATTTAGTACTTTTTACGCTCATAAATATGTATGCATACTTGTTTTCCTTTTATTGTAAGTGCATATGTATGTAACCTGCATTTTTATTATAGTCCTTTAAGTAGTTTTATTGCAACCTTACACTTCCTTTCGTCTTCTTGTTCACATGAACTATGTACATACCTGTGTATTATTTGAACATAACTTATACCCACAAACATACTAACAAGTTTTTGTCGTCTTATCTAGCAGCTACTTACACACATATGTACATAGCAGTTATATACATATAAGTATGAATACAAACGACAATAAGCAAGAAAAAAATGAATAAAATCAAATGTGGACTTCATGCATGATGTATTATATAATAAATACTTTTGCTATATACTAAATATATTTATATAAAAMAAAAAAAAAAAAATCATATCGTATTAAAAATTGTGTGCGTATGTATATTGTGCGCATATGAAGATAAAATTTTTAAGTATATGCATAGTTATGAAAGGGAAGAGAAGTGGTAAAAGCAATTGTATTGGATAAAGCTATACATAAATATACTATATATATATATATATATGTTAATAAATACACTATTGAAATAAACAATTCGATAGCATGGCATTGCTATCTGTCTGTCTCTTATACACATCTAGATGTGTATAAGAGACAGGGATAAAGCTATACATAAATATACTATATATATATATATATATGTTAATAAATACACTATTGAAATAAACAATTCGATAGCATGGCATTGCTATCTGTAGCATAATATTACAAAATGAATAAATAAATATAATTTTACGATGTAATAAATAAATCTATTTTTGTTTTAGTTTAAAGGAAAATTATATGTAGTTGTTATTTCGGGGCTGAAATACTGATCAAATGAAGATAGGGGAAAATTCTTGCCCTTAATCAGCCTTTTCAGGCAAGGAAACAAAAAAATAAAAGTCCGGAGGGCCACATCTGGCCTGTAGAGCGGTTACGGAAGCGTTGGGATACCCACCTTAGGTAGGTAGCTGTTCACAAGAATGACGGTGAGAGGCGGGCCATTGTCGTGGTGCAGCTTCCCATCGGCTGCGATGTCTTGTTGGACCCGAGGAAGTCGGATCTCTTGAGGACTTACACGTGGACAATTTGTCCAGGAGAAACAAATTCATGATAGACGATGCCTTTGATGTCAAAAAAGACAATGAGCATCGCTTTCACTTTGGATTTGCTCATTCTTCTCTTTTTTTTCTGCACAAGCCCTAGATTCCGATCGTTCAGTTTGTATGGCAGCTATATGATATAATGGTCCGTTTTGGGAAATTTTTTTGTAGCGTTACCTTAGGAAATAATCCATGAGAAATTTTGTAAAGATATATTGTCAAATTAAAAAGTTTTTCATATGGGAATCTGATATTGGAGGTTACGACAAATAAGCAGGTTCTTAAGGAGAAAAGTACGTTTAGAAAATTTCAGATCAATATCTCAAAAACTGAAAAAAGAACTTCATCGTAGACGTAGATGCCGCTTATAGCCGCGTTTACAACAGCGCGCCAATCGATTTTCCTTTCCGCAATTTGCCACCAATTGGAGATTGGAAGGTCCTTCTACCACTGGTCTTTCCAGCGGAGTGAAGGTCTGCCTTTTGCTCTGCTTCCTCCTGCGGGTGATCCTTTATATGGCCACTGTAGTAAATGCCACAAGGTCCTACTGGTCCCAGTCCTTGTCATGTCCATCGCAGCCTTTATTCTTACGAGGACATCAGTCTGCTTTGCAGCGGCACCTTCCCTATTAAGGGACCGGACATTCCAGGTGCTCTTAAATCGTAATCCTTAACGTCTATATCCAGCAATCATCAGCGTACGGGGTAATGGAAATTCCCTCCGGTCGAGAAGGGAGTTCCGAGCTATTGAAGTCAAACTGTTATGGAAAATATACATTAAGATATCGTAATTCCAGTTGACCATTGATCAAATGGACAAATGTATATCACTAAATGAATCCAGTCAAAGACTGTCAATTCTGCGTAATTCTAACGCTACAACAACAAAAATTCTAATATTGCCATGTTCCTCTATGTCTATGTACATATTTATATCGATTATTAACGTCATTGTTGTTGAAAACATTCCTCAAATATGTTAAAAAATCCGGTCGTTACTCGGTTACTCAGACCCGAGGAACCGGATTATTTCATTAAAATTTGGTACAAAACGAAGTACTCTACTAAAAATTTTTTTTTTGTTTCTTTTTCAATCCGGTCTTTGAGATTAAATATTTTAAAATTTTCGGTTTTGCAAAAAAAAAAAAAATTGCAACCCTTCTCTGTCTATATTATTGCTTAATTTAATTTGTATCTAAATAAAACACAATTTTTTAATTAATAGTCGCATACAAATATTAATATATTAATTTTATTTTTGTTTCCGACATTTCTGAAACGTTAATAAAAACGGTTAATAAAAATAATAAATAAATTAAGAGCTAAAATGGAATTTTATCTTTAATAAATATTTTATATGGATATTTTTATAAACTGGGCATTGTCGATAATAAATTAAATAATCTAAGGTAATGACTTAACTAAATGCATTGTTAATTATACATATTACTTTCCATTTGTCTTAGCAAACATTTTTTTTTCTTATAAAACAATCGGTTCATCTTCAACCGACTTTTTGTTCTTACGACGGCGACTCGATTTGATTTTACTCAGCACATTATAAGCCTGTTGTATTTCAATAAATCGTTGATTTGCCGCCGCTTTCAATTTCTCATCTTTAACCTTGTCCGGATGGAATTCTTTCGAGAGGCGACGATAAGCTGATGTAATTTCGGCTTGTGAGGCTGTTGCACTCACGCCCAACACCTTGTACGAATTACGTTCGCCATCCACGTCCATACTTTCGAAAATTTCCTTCCATGTCTCATACCAGCCATGATGCTGTGCATATTGATATGTATCTGAAAGGGCTTGTGTGAAATCTGTCCACCAAGCTGATGTAAGGAAATTCTGTAAAGCTTCATGTATCGGCACTTCACCACCATCGTCATCGGTAATTGTGCCATTGAAATAAAGAAAACATCCCCATAAAGAAAAGTAAAGCACCAAGGCAGTTGTCAATTTTACCGACCGTGCGCCAGCGCCGTGACGTTTCGGTGGGGTACGCAACCATTGTTTTGAATAAGTGTCGAAAACTAGCGCAGAAACCAGCGCAGTCAATAGTAATGAATAAGTTTCATCATAAATTAGATAGCGTGCGGGATATATCGCAATGGCGCCGATTAAGCATTGCCACCAAACTCCACGTTCCCGTCCGATATTACCCACAGTCCAGACGCCCAAAGAAACAAATATCGGTATAAGCCAATGCAGAAAGCCCCAATCAATACCAGCGAATATAGTTTCCGGTATGGCCATGAGCAGCACCTGTCCAAAGAGATAACCAATCATAACTTCGCCCACAAAACGCTTAGCAGAGTAAGGCGGTCGTTGATTTGCTTGCAATTTCGCTACAAATGATTTAATAAATGTTGGATCCTCATTAGCATCACGTACATATTCTGGTATTAAGACTATTTCAGCCAACCAACCGACACCGAAATATCCACCCAGTGTACACCACCAGATGAAAGCATGTCGATCGCGATGCAAATACAGGTGATGTAGTCCAAAAATACCACCAAAAAGCCAAAGTATATAGGCGATTACAACCGATTTCTGTGGTGGCAAAGTATTTGCTTCGGGTTGTGCGCTATTACCATTAGCAACAGGTTTACCGTTAACCAATGATTTCCCATTCGCTATTGCAGATGTGGATTGGGACTCCGTTGCGTTCGCTTTTAACATGGTGACTTCAGAATTCAAACAGAGAAAATTGCATCAAAGAATGCAGTCATTATTTAATAAAGGCAAACATTTGTAAAATATTATTTAATAAAAAAGTAATGCTTTTACATAAGCAATGCAACATTCTAAAAATCACTGTACTCACTGTGTCAGTTGATTTGCTGGATTACGTGTACTTCCTTATTAGAGCGTTTTAACAATGGCTTAGCCAACTTTCTCTTTTCACAAATTCCATACACGCTTCACTTCAATTCTACAGGTAGGCTTTCTTCTTACTTCTGCAGCACAAAGTTAATATAGCAAAACATTCAATATAAACTGGAAATTCTTGCGTTCACATATAAAAAAAAAACTTGTTACTGTCAGTAAATTGTCTTTTTCTGCACTATTTAATTTATAAAACGTAAAAAAATGTTTGTTTATTTAAGCGTTTCTTTTCGTTTGTCGTGATTTGCTTTCTTCGCTACTGCTTAAGTGAATCGCTCGGACGTGCAACAACGTTTGTTCCAATTCGTGAATGCCGCTTAAATAGGCTAAATACAGTTGCTGAATGTTTAATTAAAGTTGGTCACTGCTTCAAACCAAAATCACACCTCTGACGTAAACAAATTGATAACACACAATTTTTATTTATTACTTTAACGCTCTTATTAGATTAATTAAGAGCATTCAAATAAGAATTTCTACACCTGAAAGCGCGACGCGATTCGCTAATTCTCTCTTGGTTTTCACAACCGCTCTCATATAAAAGCCAGAGTTACCTTTGAGGGCACTTTAAATTTACTACGATTTTTGAAAATTTTATTATTTTGCAAAAATGCAACCCTATCATATGACACATTTGTTGAACACATTTAATTGATTGAACATACGTGTTATTGAGGTAAATAATAAAGCGGCAAGTTTTAATCCTTAATTTTATATAAATTCATTTTATTAATAAGTCTTGCGCGATTTTAACGAGAAGCGTCAAATGAAATGGTTAACCAATGTCGCGCCTGCCTCAGTTCGAAAGACACCTCCTTTATTCGTATGGAGACGCACATTGGCGACGGTGTCGATTTCTTCACTTGCTTCAACTTATGCACACAATTGGAAGCGGAACTAGATGATGGCCTGCCAGGAGTATTGTGCACACATTGTTCTCAAGATCTCGAAATATCTTTTAATTTCTTGCAAAATGCCAGGCAGGCTGATGGAATACTCCGTGAAAACTTTTCACACAAGTACTTGACCACAGAAATAGAATCATTGGATAGTGAAATGGATGATACAATAATGGAGCCATTAGATGAGGTAGAAGGCAGTGAAATGGAAGATTGTGTGGTTGAGGAAATCATAGAACACGTGCATGTTCCAGAAGATGTTGCCGACGAGCGTGTAGAAAGCAGTGTTGTAGAAATAATGGAGGTAACTTAATATCCAACATCTTTATACTTCCAAATATAATTTTATATAATTACTACATAGGTCGAAAAAAATAATCTGAATATTTGTGAAAGCTCTTTAGATGAGATAGAACTTATCGATAACAGTTATGTGGACCAAACTGTCGAGACAGCGGAGATTGTGGTGGACGAGATACATGAAACACAATCAAAAACAACAGAGTATTATGCAGAAGATGAAGGTGATGAAGAGTACCTAACAGAATACAAAGAAGATGTGCAGCAATCGGACGCAGACAATACGAGATCAAAAGGAGGAAAATGGAAATGCATAGAATGCAAAATTGTTTTGTGTGGCGATGTTTCTTATGAAGGCCATATGAATATGCATCGTTCATTGCGACCATACAAATGTACAGAATGCATGTGTGCATTTCGTTGCAAAAATAAACTGGATTACCATATACAACTGCGACATACACAACAAGTCGAGCCTCAAACTATCAACCGTATGTATTTCAAAATAGTATATTTCTATAATTTGTTGTAATTTTTTTACTTCCAGTAAACAATTGTAAAAAGTGTACCAAAATCTTCGGAGCACCCGAAGAATTACAAGAACACCAGGAATTAATACATCCCGATAGTTATCCTGTACAATGTAGACGCTGTCCGTTGTTACCACCATTCGCGCGGACAAAATTAGCAGAACACTTTCGTAACGAACATCCAGCGGAACATCGAAAATACTTCCCCACAGTGGGTAGGCCACCAAATGAGCCAGCCAAACCAACACCATGGCAATGTGAAGTCTGTAAATGTTATCTGCGTTCAGAAAGCGCATTGCGTGATCACAGACATACGCACCAGAATGAACGACCGCATGAGTGCCAATTTTGTGCGAAACGTTTCGTTACTACCAGTAATTTACGTCAACATATGCGCGGCGTACACACCGAGGAATATGAGAAGCTAGTTAATGAAGGCGGTGATACGATAGTGCAATGTGAAATGTGTAAAAAGCAATTACTTAGACGAAATCTCGAAAAACATATGGCCTTGCATGTGAAAAAAGAGCGCGAGGCGAAAGAGACTCAAACGAAATTTCTCTGTGCTTACTGCTGTAAGTATTTAAATATTATATGTTCACTATTATTTGTAAGTAATCAAATATTTTTAGCGTTATATTTACTGAAATATTAGTATATTTTTTGTGTGTAAGCGTGAGTTTGTGTCCGGTACGCGAAAAATGGTTTAAGTTATCAAATAGCTGTGTTGTTTTCAAAAAGATTTCTCATAAAATTCAACAGTCTTGCGTAGATAAAATTAGTTTAGAGCACTGAAACTAGTCTAAAATCATTCATACACTTTTTTTTTGAAGTGAATTACAACCGTTGGTTGGTCTGTAAATATCGCCACAGCAAATTTTACAAATTGTTTTGGATTGTTGGCCGTTTACAACAGAAAACGCATATATTTGAAACGCCCACTAAATAATACTCGTGCTTTTTTATAATAAATAGTATTAAAATTGAGATCTTAACGTATCTGATCTAGCATTACAATTTTTTCAAAGCTGAAACTTTTTCTTATTGCTAAATTGGTTTAAAAATTAAACCGTGATTTTTAGTACAAATTCAAAAGGTTAACAACAATATATGAACATGCTAAATATTTTCCCAGCACGCGAGTGTAAAAGTCAAAAATCCCTCAACCAACACGAGAAAATGCATCAAGGCGCATCACCGGACGTTATATATATTTGCTCGGACTGTGATCGCTCCTATGCTACACAGCATTTGTTGCAGCAACATCGCAAACAAGCACACAAAGAACGAGACCACTTTTGTCCGATATGCGGCAATGCTTTTAAACTCAAGAATCAATTGGTTAATCACATGAAATTGCATTTGGAAAAAAATATCAAATGTCCACATTGTGAGAAATGTTATGCGCGTAAATTCGATCTAGATGTGCATTTGCGTAGTCATACAGGAGAGCTGCCATTCGCCTGTCATCTATGTGAGAAACGTTTTGCGATAAAAGTGCGTTTAACATACCATCTACAGAAGCACTATGGCATAAAGCATCGTTGTAAGGATTGCGGTGCGGAATTCAATTCGAAACAGAAATTAAAAGCGCATAGTTTCAAGCACACGGGCATGCCCTATCGTTGCGAAAGATGTGATGGACATGGCTTTGCCAATCGTGATGTGTAAGTTTTGACAGAAAAATGGCAATTACAATAATTTATTATTAAATTTTGTTTATTGCAGCTTTAAACGCCATTTGCAACGCGTGCACTGCACGAGTATGAGCGACGAAGAGTTAGTTACCATGTTCCAGCAAAACACTGGCAAGGCTACCCGCATAAAACAGGTTGAATATTTTGACGAACATTCGCAAGGGGCCGCTTCAAAAACCGCTACGGAAGCGGACAACACTTTGATTAATGCAGATGAAATTGCACTGGAATCAGAAGTGGTGCACAGCTGAAAGGAGTAGCAGTAGAGATTTTGTACTTTAAGTTGTATAGACAGTTATATGTACATCTAACATTTTAGACGAAATTAGATAAAATAAAAAGTACGCTAAATTTACGAGCATACATACACCCTAAAAAATATGTATCACTTTCATTTTAAAATTGAACCGAGTAACTTTTTCACCATGCAATTAACTATAACTTCAAAAAAATAATAACAAATATCCAATTCCTGCTTTGCAGCACGTGAATTCACGAATGCCAAATCGCTCAGTCTGCACGAACAAAACGTGCATCTTGTCAAATTGGAGGAGCCGAAATATGAATGTGGCATTTGTAAGCGCAAATGTTATCAACAGCGTGATCTCAATTGCCATATGCAGCGCGTGCATCTAGCGGAGCGCAAACACTATTGCAATGTGTGCGGTAATGCGTTCAAGAGCGCTTGGCAGCTGACCGCTCACCGGCTTTTGCATGCCGAAGACAAGTCTTTTGAGTGCATACACTGTCAACGGCAATATACACGGCAAGCCGATTTAATTGTGCACATGCGCACACATACCGGCGAACTGCCATACGCTTGCCACCTTTGTGGTAGACGCTTCGCGATCAAAGTACGACTCACTTATCACTTGCAACGGCATGAAGGCGTCAAACATTCGTGCGCCTATTGTGGAACTGTCTATTACAATCGTAATCAACTAAAGGAGCATCTCTTCAAGCACACTGGCATGCCTTATCGCTGTGAATTGTGTCCAGATGTTGGATTTACGCGCCGTTTGCGGTAAGCACATGTCTAATTGAGTGTTTAAAGCATTTACATATGTATGTATGTGTGTAATTATGTCGTATGATTTTAATAAAAAATTTACCTTTAGTTTCTCCAATCACATGCAGCGCGTCCATAATAAAATTCTAACAGCTGACGAATTGACTGCTGTGTTTGCGAAATACACGGGAAAGGCGATACATTTCAACACCAGCAACAAATCTCAGGAGAATATGGACTCACAGGAGTTGCCTGATTTCATTGTAGATGAAGAGAAAGAAGATGAAGATATGGTAAATGAGTGCTTAAATAATTAAATATATATATGGTACAAAGAATGTATGTATGTGTATACACATAAGTAGTTAAAACTTAAATTAAAAATAAAAATATTTATTGCATATTTATATGGAAATCGCTAATTTGAACCTATGTACACATTAAATAAACAATAAAACAATAATTGCAAATAACATTTTTTAATATTTATACTATTTGAAAAGTATCGAGGAGTTGAATTCTAAACTCCAACTTTATATACTCACCGATTTTACAATTTTATTCGTAGAAATAAATTTCAATGCAAGAAAATAATATTCAATTTCGGTTGATTGTTTGTCGAAAAATGTCATAATCTAACAAAACAAAAACGCATCGAAAGCGTTAATCAGACATATTTGTTAACACCACCAACACAAAGATGATCATCGCGCTATAGTATTCGTGTATATTTATTATGTTTTTAGTATTTTTGTATTGTTAATAAACTTTTGATATTTATTCAAGGAATTATATGCGAGCGCAGCCGCGGGGAAGGTAGTTTAAAAATATAAATCATATTTTTTTGTGCTTTGTACAATGTTTTAGTTTGACTGCTCTTGCTCTTGCTCTTGCTCCATACTTTGCGCCTCTGACTGCAATTCTTCCAGAGTCTTCACATGTGGATTACGCCCAGTATTCGCTTTGAACATTGCACAATACTCCTCATCAGTCATAGTCATGTCGTGCATACGCAATAAATGCTTTCGAAAACTAGAAAAATATACATACATATATAAAGAAACGCATATAAACAATGGCCAACATATCGGCAACTAAAAAGTGCTTACACATCACGCTGCGCACAGCCGTATTCACACACAGAACATCGATATGGCATGCCAGTGTGTTTGTATGAATGGATTTTCAACTGTTTAACATGATTGAATTCTTTGCCGCACTCCTGACATTTCCGCTTGATGCCAGCATGACGCTGCAGGTGATAATTAAGGCGCACTTTGATTTTAAATCTACGATCACACAAATGACATTCATATGGCTCTTCGCCTGTGTGTATGCGCATGTGTACTTTCAGATCGGATGAGCGTATAAACTTTTTCTCGCACACGGTGCATGCGAAATTTCGCTCCAGGTGCAAACGTTTATGGCTGTGAAGCAAAACATAACTCTTGAAAGGATCACCGCAAATATCGCAGATAAATTTACGCTCAGACGTGTGCACGTTCTCTATGTGGTTTTTCAAATATTTCGGATCAACTTTTTTCTGGCAAATTGGACATTCCTTGGGTTCGGGTCTTTCACACATATGAACCTTCTTTTCGTGCAATTTAACAGAAGTTTCAGAGTTAAATTCACGCGCTAGAGCAATAAGAAAGAGTTATTGTATAATTTATTGAAATTATATACATATACATATATTTTTCTTAATACTTACGACAGAATGCGCACAGAAATTTTCTTTTTTGATTCAATGCATACTTGTGTCGTCTTTGGTGATGCTTAATTTCACTTCTTGGTATATCCTTATGACAAAATGTGCAATTAACAAATTCACTGTTTGCTTTGTCATTTTCCATTTCCACCGTAGTAGTACTGATTTCACTATCAGCAACTGGTGTTGGTATTAAATCTCGATGTTTGCGTCTTTTGTGATGATAAAGGGAGTTTTGACTAGCAAAGCGCATAGTGCAAAACGCACATTCAAATAGCTTATCCTCGTCGTTTTTTACATTTTGCCGTGTATACTGGTTATGTTTCACTTTCAAATGTCCTTGAAGGGACCGTTTCAATCTGAACTGTCTGGAGCATAAGGAACACTTATATGGCTTACTTGCATCGTCGTCCTCAACTCCAACCGCAACTTTTAAGCTACTTAGTGAATGATTATGTATGCGTTTAACATGTGCCCGAAACGTACCATGTTTTCGAAAACTCTTTGAACATAATGGACAGTCAAATTTGTGTTCCTTTACATGATAGGCTAACTCAAGTATGGATGAAAATTGCAGTTGGCAGTCATCACATCCAAAACTATTATTCTCATCATTATTATTGCAAAGCCTTTTCGTACGCGGAAAATATTTCAAATATGAAATCTTATGCGTCCTCTGAATATGTTTAGGTAGATCTTCACGTTGTAAGGTTTCATTACACCATGTACACTGAAATGTTGATTCCGTACCATGAACAAGAGATTCGTGAATTTGTAATTCCGTGGGAAGCTCATAAACTTTCGGACATTTCATGCAGATGATGTGAGCTAAAAAATATAAATATGCTTAGATATGCAACGAAAACATTTTAAGGTTAAAATTCGTACATTTGTGTAGATCAAATATATGATCTTTCAGTTCCCTTTGCGTTAAATATTTACAATCACAAATTTCACAAGAATGTGACACGCCCGGCTTGATAACGTCACCGCTGTCATCATCACTATTACACTGCTGCGAAGATTCGGAATCACTTTTGACAACATGATCCTCCATTATTTTTTCAAAATTTTCAGGAATATCTAACTCTAACTCTACTTTTATTTCTGGCACAGGTATAGCCACTTCAGCATCGCTAACAGTGTTGGAAGTTTCGGTTACGACAATGTGTTGTTCTGGCGTCGCTAAAGGATCATTTGTACATTCAACTACATACTAATGAAAACAGATATTAATCTTTACACTTATCATCATCAAAATCTATCAAAAGTCTTAGTGTACCTGTGTAGTTTGGGTAGTAGTATAAATGTCTACGCCATCTTTTTGTAATGTCAAAATCTTTTTGAGTTCTCCATCGGACTTACGTGCCTTTTTTATAAAATTACAGGCATCATGCAGTTGTTCTGTGCAAGTTGTACATAATATTTGTGGAAGTTCATCATTCGCTGTTGCTTGCAGTTGAGTGCATTCATTAAAGTAATCGTATAGTGTTTTACCATCCTCCGCAGTTCCGACACAATTCATATCCACAACTGTAGGACAATCCAATTGCATACAAGCACGGCAGTACATTTTTTTATGCTTTGTTTTCATTACAATTCCAATTTGTTTGCGATACAAAGTATGGTTATTTTACAATTTATTTATGCTAATTAGAGATGATAGACCAATCAAAACAATTTTATCGGTGTTTTTACTTTGTTCGATTGTTTGCACTAATATCGTTAGACACACTATCAAAATGACAACATATTTAAATGCCCGCAAAAAACGTTTAAAAAGTAAAATAAAGCGAAATAAAATTAGAAAAAAAAACTAATTTATAAAAATAATAACAAAAATTTAATAAATAATTTTAATTGTTAGTGGTGTTCATTGAGTTTCGATATATCAGAAAAGTATCATCAATGGTTATAACTAATAAAATATATCGAGGATATAGCAAAACCAAACCGTTAAAAAATCAACTAGATTTAAGCAATAACATATCCCTTCACGCTACAATCGAGTCTAGTTAATTGGAACGAACCCGGATTTTTATCCGGCCAGGGACTGTCAAACAGGTAGAACTCCTTCAATTACTTCAAGAATATTTCGTTCCCACCACAGTCGGATCTACGAAACCAGAACTCACTTCACGGTTATTTTCTGTAGCTACAACAACAATAAGACAAGATGTAGTTGAGGCAATATTACAATTTATTACGAAATGCGTTTGGTAACTTAAAACTAATAAATACACAAATAAAAAACAAAAATAATAAAACTATGCATTAATTCGAATTATCTGACGTTTGTAAATTTTCAGTCAGCTTCTTCAGATATTCAACATTTTTAACGCGAGGCGATTTACCAGTATTCGTTTTAAACATTAAATATAATTCTTCGTCAGTTATTTGTATGTCATGTTTTCGGAGCATATGGGTCGTTATACTGCAATAAAAAGGTATACATTTTTTCAGTTTCGTTATTTCAAAAACTTTAAATTCAACAAAACTTACTATTCACGTTTGGCAGTTTGATAATGACAAGCAGTGCATCTATATGGCATTTTTCCATTATGTTCGAACGAGTGTCTTCGCAGTGTTGTGCCATCTTTGAATTCTTTGCCACAAACTTTGCATATTTTCTTTATATTAGCATGGTGTTCTAAATGATAGGTAAGGTGTACACGGATACGGAATTGACGATCACACAAATGACAAGCATATGGCAATTCGCCCGTGTGACTGCGCATATGAACCTTCAGGGCAGATGTTTCCGTAAATTTCCTATCACATACACTGCATGGCAAATGCCGATCTGGCATATGCAACAGCTTGTGTCGCTTTAGTTGACTAGGACTTTTATAGGCACCGCCACAAATATCGCAAATGTTGTTCCGTTCCCCTATGTGCACAATTTTAATATGATTTTTTATATAATCGGACTTTAATTTCTTCTGACATATTGGGCACTCCTTAATATCTGATTTTGAATTGAGGTGCTGACTTCTTTCGTGCGACGCCAACGACACGTTTGAGCATAACACACGTGCTGGAATATTGTACGATTATTTTTTGTATACGCATTTATTTAGACAGAAATCAATACTTACGACAATATGAACAGAGAAATCTCTTTTTTTCTTTTATTTGTAGTATTTTTTTATTTTTACTTTGTTCCTTTTTAACCGATTTATTTAGCGCTTGAACGACATCTTCGTCTTCATTTTCAATAGATTCACACTCTACATTTTGTAGTGTGGCGGTATCTTCGTCTTCGTCTTCCGCAATCGAAGTTACCTTTGCTTCATTTTCCGTAGTTTTTTGTTTAGCTTTTGATCTTGTACCTTTACTATGCCTTTCTCTTAGATGCTTATTGTAGGAGGCTAAATTTGTATAGCTTTTGTTACAAGCTTTGCATTGAATTGGCTTATCTTTGCTATCTCCCGCTAATGGTATAGCCGGGAATTGGCTTGCTGAACTGTTATGCAAGCGCTTAACATGTAAATAATATGTACGCATTCTGTTAAAATTTTTCAAACAGAATGGACATTTAAACAAGTGTGATCTAATATGTTCTGTCAAATCAATAACCGTTGTGAAAATTTTTTGGCAATATTTACATGTATATTTTGTCGGCGATGGAACCTCCGTACCGTTTGTATGTCGTTTTTGTACGTGTGGGAAATACCAATAGTAGCGAGAATTATGAGTTGTTTGAAAGTGCTTGACAAGCTCATTACGAGGCAATAGAGGCTTTTCACTGCAGAAATTACATTGCACTGGTGAATTGGTTCCATGCACAAGTTGGTTGTGAATTCTCAACTCAATTGGCATATCAAATATCTTTGGACAACTTAAACAAATTACTTCAGCTAAAATATATAAATATTTTTAGTGGGTAAATATATTATACTTATGAACTTACATTTATGCTGTTGGGAGATGTGTTTTTCAAGTTCATTTTTGTTTGTATAGGTACTACTACATATCTCACAATCATAATCCACTTTTTTTATGGGCTCCGTTTCACTCTCATATTCGTCCTGCCCAAAAGAATTACGTGTTTCAGTTTCATTATCCATGAATACTTGCCGCTGTTCATCATTGCCATGCGGTACTGTATATTGGTTTTCTGTGTTGTCCACCGGTGTGCTTTCCCTTACGATTTCTATTTGTGTTTCCTCGTAAGATTGATTCGAAGATTCCTCTAAGCAAAACTTTTCCGTTGGAAATTCCGTAAAAGATTCCTCGGAAGATGGACTTACAGCTACTTCTAAGAACGAATTTTCCGTTGAAAATTCCATCAAATCTTCTTTTAAAGATCGATTTGAAGCTACTTCTAAGCACAAATTTTCCGTTGGGGATTCCATCAAACCTTCCCCCAAATGTTGAGTTGGTGATTCCTTTAAGCACGAATTTTCCGTTGGAAATTCCATCAAAGGTTCCTCCAAAGACCGATTCGGATCTTCCTCTAAGCAAGACTCTTTCGTCGGCAATTCCTCCACGGGTTTCTTCACAGCCTCTAATGCTTCATGAAAACTCATATCTAAAGGATCATCTGTACTTTCTTCCGTATCCTATGATACAAATTTCAATAATTCTTATCCATTTATAAATTTACCATTTATTTACCTCTGGCATACACAATTTCTCTGGTGAACTATCAACTGAATCAGTTTCCAATTTTTGAGATATTAAAAGTTTCTTAAATTCCTCATTCGACTGTAGTGCACTTCTTCTAAAGTTATATGCTATTTGAAGTTTTTGTGCACATAATTTACATAGCGTTTTGGGCAGATGGTCATTTGCTGATGCATCTAGTTGTGTACATTCATTGAAGCAATCGTAAAGGTTCTTGCCGTCATCCGTTCCAAGTATATTCATCTCGAATAATATTTGGCATTTACTTTGCATACACACGCGACATTGCATTTTTCTACTTAATTTAACATGTAGAATTATTAAACCGAATTAAACTTAATCAAAATGTAAATAAATGTTTGTTTATACTACCACCTGACACACAATTGCTTGGATTATTTCATTAGTAATGAAATTGTTGTAATAAATTTATCGATAGCAAATCGATATAACGAACACTTGTATTGCAATGTTTTAACTGAAATAAATTCAAATTACTTAAAGAATCGAATGGTATTACATTTTGTTTTGAATATGTGCAATCCATATGGAATTATGAGATGACCTGAAATTAGTTTACATAAATCAATTTTTTTTTATGTATTTCGAAAGTTCAAATGATCAACGGCTATTTTATACCCTGAAAGTTTAACACCCAGATGGGAACGTCGGAAATCGGAGCTGGAGCTGAGTACCTCAATTTTAGAGTTATACCTCTGAAATTTTGTCGGAACCAACGATATCGTACCAACTAAACTACCACCAAATGAAACACTTTAAGTGCGTTTCGACAATATTTTTATTACTGTTTTTGTAATTGATAAGGGCTTAGTAAAATAAACCAAACACTAAAATAAACCAAACACTATTTTCATCAGCCAAGTCATGGACATACAACAGCTCATTGTTCACATCAATGATTTTCACTTACGCAATTGTGAACAAAGGAACTTTTTCTTCGCTATTAGATTAGGCTTATCTACAGCTGTTTGCAGATTTTCCTTAGAAGATTCCTGTGCTTTAGGTTCACATTTGGTATATAGGTTTCTATATAAACTATTATCAGGCGTTGCATAGGCTCTAGTTTTATACTTGGCTTCTTGGTTGGATTCAACGTCCTCTTCCATGTAAGTATCAGTTATATTAGAAATATATGTCTCACTACTGTCACATGGCATTTCTGCAACGCTTTTTTCAGAGTAATGTTTGTGATGAGTTTGTCTGCCGTACTCAGCTATAGTTGCAAAGCTGACATTGCAAATTTTGAAGTTTATTCGTTGATCACTTCTTTCATTAAAGCCTGCGAAGCGGGTACTTCAGTTTCTGAGCAATTACGTATCCGTTTAATATGTCTGTAATACCTGCTCACATCATTGCAAATCGAATATATTTCTTTACAATATAGGCACTGTAATCTAGTAGTATAGATTTCTATTCCTAGATGATCCGTTTCTCCCACATTTAAACTTGAACTATCTTCTTTCGTTACAGTATCAGTCTCATATGTCTCTACACCGGGACATGTATTTTCATCATAACAATTTTCTTCGTACCAGTCTTCTATCGTATCCGCTTGTGACGGATTATTGTCGCTGCAGGAGCTGACTTGTGACTGTTTGATAATGACGGTTTCGTTTATTAACGCAGAATCGCACGGATAATCAACTTCGAAGCTGGAAAGTTGGTGCCAACCGTCCTCATTCATAGGGCATTCGCTATCAGTTTGTTTCACAACTTTCCGAGCTTCACAGATTTCCATCTCCAAAGGATCGTTTGAGTAATCTTCAGTATCTTCAGGTGTTTGTGTATTAATTTTTCGTAGTTTTAGAATCTTTTCAAACATAGCATTAGACATTAGACAGAGCACATTTTCTAAAGATATATGCTACGCGTAGCTTTTTAGTACAATTTTTGCACAGTGCTTTAGGAAAACTATCGCTGGCAGTTGCACCTAGCTGCGTACAAACATTGAAGTAGTCGAAAAGTGTTTGTTCTCAATCTGGTCCAGCAACACTCAAATGGACAAATTTGTTACAATTCGCTTTCATACACGCTCGGCATTTCATTGTTATGGGCCTTTAGATGAAGCTTTATTAACTTATAATACTTAATTATCACTTTTAATAACTTATTTACAACACTATCTGCTCTAAAACAATTCAGTCATAAAGATGCAGATGATAAGTGAAGAAGAAATTAAACTTTGCATATTTAACGTTTGTAAACAGCTGATCACTGATAAGAGAACTCTCTCTCATGTAGAGATGTGTTTAATTTCGATTAATATACATTTATCGATGACATCCCAGGAAAATACGGCTACCGAATTTCCTATACAACGCCTTGCGTAAGAAAAAGTATAAATGATCACTCGGACAGATGAGTTTCAGTTAGAATTGCACATTGGGCATTAAAACTCATAGAAACTTTAACAGAAATCCTTGTTAGCACTGTTGGGTAATTAACCGATAATTTGCTGGGTTGAAGTTAAATATAACAACCACAAATCCTTTTCCAAGGCAATTGGATCTACGGGATTAATATCCGGCAAAGGACTATCGAATCGGCAGCATTTTTCAATGTTTTGAGTCACGATAACAGCAACTGATGACAAAAAATTTATAAACGACATATTTATTTGTAAAATAAATTTAGTGTATTTGATCTTCAGTAAAAAAAAGTTAATAATTTGACACAATAGCTTAGTATTAATATTTAAAGTAATTAAAATTTTATTACGAATATTTTGTTGTACTCATCTAAAAATACATAATCAATTAGCGAAGTATAGAAATTAAATATAAAGAAATAAATTAAAACTTTCTAATTGCGTTAAATACAAAATACATATTTATGTATACTAATTATATTGAAATTGGGACAATGGCAATCGAATTGAACTCGCTTCAAATTTAGGTGAGTGTGCTATCAATACATACTATACGATTATAAATGATAAATAATGTGATTTATATGAAAAATGAATACAATTTTACGATAAACATAATTAATATTATCCATACAGGTTTAGTTAATTAATACATTTATAAGATTTTTGTAAATTGATGTGTAAAATTAAAATACACAATTTAAGTACTATTACTTAAGCATTAACGCTTCAAATACTTGTAGTACATATGTTGCTTTTATTGTAGTCATTGTTGGCACTAGCTAATTTTTGCTCTGATCTACTTTTATTGTATTGGAGAAGCTCAATTTTTTACTTATTTGAAAAATTGTCCATTATGAAGCATTTAGTTGTTTTTCTTTTTCGGTTTCTTTGGATTACGCGAGCGAGACTTTGCCTTGCATAATGGGCAAATGGGAGCATTACGATGTATTTGTTGGTGGCAAGATAGACATGACTTCATAGGTGGCGGTTGTTGACGCAGGTTAACATTAAAATCTGATCGAAATGAAGGATGGTGACCAATACCAATAGCCGGTGACTGCTGCAAACGAGATGAAGGTGGAGGAGGCGGCGGTGGAGCAGAAAAATCGCTTTTACCCAAACGTACTGCTGCAGCAGCAGCGACGGCATTGCCCGCGCCGGGTGGGGCGGGTGGCATAAAGGCATGACCACCGGTGGGTCCAGTACCACCGCCCGTTGGTGGTAATGCAGTGACGGTAGCTTCCGGAAGAAGTGGGTGTCGGGGATGAGGTCGTGCCAACGATGTAGGCTGTGCAGCAGCAACAGCAGCCGCAGCGGCGGCGCTCACTTTTAAAAAGTTGGTTTGAAAACGATCTTTTGATATTGGACTACCCTCTTCTTCGTGTAAATCACGTAGAGGACTTAAACCTAAGTAGTCGCGACGCATATGATCAATTTGATATTTGAGTGCCAGATAATCTTCATATACCCTATTTGCCATGTCAACGGAACGCGTTTGATTTTCCTTAGTTTGCTTTATAATATTTTCCATATCGTTTATATCGGCATGTATTTGTCTTAGCTCTTCGACATGTGACATTTTTTCCTCCAACAAATGCTCCATTTCTTTACGGTATTCATCCAGACATTTTTCTTCATCATCACTTATTTTCACTTCTTTGATAATTTTCAATTTCAATTTTTCTAAAGCAATTGTTTTATCACGTATATCCTTGATGGCTTCAAGCTTGGCATAATAGTGGCGCTCATTGGAGCTGGAGATATCGCTGGTGGCCATTTTTTCTTATTAACCCCTTTCTGTAAGTTTGCGTTGGTCGATGGTTGGGGGATTTCTTCACAGGAGTTCCGTCACGTCACAAAAGATGTTGTAGGCTTTGTAAAACACACAAGTCAGATACAATATTTGTATTGCATATTTATCAGTATAATGATATTAAATGAGTGATATTATATAAAATTCACTTATTAAAAGTTATATCCAAAATGTTAAACTTCTCAATGTTGTGTACAAAACTAAGTTCTTCTTCTTTTGATAAAACTAATTCACAATAGTACACCAAAAGATTCGCGTTTTGATAGCCATGAATATCTATTCTTATTAAAATTTATTAAAAAATCGAGATAAAGAATGTAAGCTGTCATTTATCTGAAGAAGATTCAGGTAACGACTTTCTCCAATTCTTATAGTTCTCATGAGTCGGATTTCGGTACATATAGTAGATCTCAAAATATTTAAAATAAAATTTTGTGGTAACATTGGTTTTCTTGTTGTCATGGCAATGGTGTCTGGGAAGATTAAAAAGGATTGAAAATTTTATTAGATGTGTTTCTTTAGAAAAGGAATGGAAAGGTTTTAATAGATGTATTCGTTTGAAAAAAGGATTCTGTTTGCTAACAAACATGAATTCGCCCAGTCGTGCTGAAATCCACTTCGAAGACATGCGATGCTGTCGTTCCTGTCTGTCCGTGGCTTCAGAAAATGAGCTTGAAGATTATATTGATCTGCTGGAGACTTTTACCACTGATTGTGTAACTACTACCTTACTAGAGGCCTTCAATAAATGCACTTCATTAAATGTACTGATAGAAGATTTTATTATTGAAGGATATCCGCCTTGTCATTACATATGTGGACGTTGTCGTTTAGAACTCTCTCAAGCTAATGAGTTTATAACTCGAGCACAACTAAATAACCAGTTATTAAAAGAACAATATAACCGTGAAAAATCAGTACATTCGGCAATAAGCGATACTGAGATTCTTGAAATTGAAATTAAAAATGAATCGCTTGCTCAAAAATCGAAACATGATGAAAAAGCAGATGAATTGAAAACTGTGTTAAAAAGGGAATATATCAGCGCCAAATCAGTACATTCGCCAATAAGTGATACTCAGATTCTTGAAATTGAAATAAAAAATGAATCGCTTGTTCAAAAATGGGAGCATGATGAAAAAGCAGATGAATTGAAAACTGTGGTAAAAAGGGAATACTACAAAATTAATATAACTTTACTAAAATAATACTAATTTTTAGAGTATTACAGAGGTTGAGTTTGTCAACCAGAATTCTCCCGAACCGGCTGCCAGTGAGATCCTTGAGCCGACGAATGAAGATATTCAAGAAGATAACGAAATTACGCCAACTACACTAATAAGTGTTGAGCGCGTAATTTCTAACGATGATAAAAATTCTGTAAATAATTCCCAGACATCGATAAGTAGTAATGAATCTGTACTAAGTGCTAACATCTCCCGAAATGAAGACGATGGAAATATTGAAGAAACAGATAAGGCTTATTTTGAATTCAAATGTGAGTTTTGTACTTGCATATTCGAGTTTCAAAGAGATTTACTGCAACACTATGAAATAGATCACGGTATGTAAAATGTCTTTTTGAATGGCTTTAGTTTAAATATTATGCAATGCTTCTTTATGTTTTATAGCGGACAAAACACTTAATTTTCCTTGCGACATTTGCCAAAATCGATTTGTAACGAAAAATGCTTTGCGTCTGCATCGTCGTCAAGTGCATCAAAAAGATGAATATCTGGATTGTGAGCATTGTGGACGTACCGTATTAAAAACATTCTATAACGTACACTTGAGACGCCACAAACAACTTAAATTCTTATGTAGCAAATGCCGTACGTTGCTAATAATATTTTGCACGATTCTAAAATAATTTAACATTTTATTTCGTTTCAGCAAAACGTTGTGTTTCACGTTACACACTCAAGAAACATATGGAATTGCACTCCGAAGAGCGTGATCGCAATATTGAATGCGATTGTGGTAAACGTTTCTATTCATTGGAACATCTACAATTACATCAAACCATTCACATTTCACCAGAAGATAGAGCAGTATTCGAATGTACTGTTTGTTCTAAAACATTCTTACGCAAAGCGAATCTTGGTTTACATATGCAAATGCATCGCGGCGAGACTATGGATTGTCCGCATTGCGATAAGAAATTTGTAAGACGTAAAGATCTCGAAATACATATACGTTTCCATACTGGCGATTTTCCATACTCTTGTTCGATGTGTGACCGAAAGTTCGCCATTAAAGGGCATCTTAATTACCATGAGAAACGTCATCTGGGCGTGCGTTACAAATGTGACCAATGCGAGAAAACATTTATAAATTTGGCCGGTTTGCGACAACATCAGTATGAGCATACGGGTATGCCATTAATGTGTAGCGTTTGTCAACGTGGCTTTCCAACTAAATTCAAGTAAGTAAAAACACCGTATTTATACCCTGAACAAGTATATTAAGTTTGCCAAGAAGTTTGTAACAAGCTTGAAAATCAAGAAGGTGCTCATTTGCTGAAACCACCGATATCGGATCACTTAATCAACATCAAGTTTTTGTATGTAATCTTGCAATTGTGAAGGGTATTATAGCTTCGATGCAAACGAATTTGACGATTTTTCTTGTTTTCTCTATCATATACATACACATTCGTACGTATAGCGTTTTCTTAATACATTAGAAGCATCATCACATTGTTTGATTTCTGCATTGTCATCTTGAATTAGCTGCGTATAGGTATATATGTACATATCTTTTGGGTTTTTTCAGGATTCGCCGCCATTTGCGCAACGTACATAAACACCTCTTTAAGAAAACTGACTACTCAGATGAATTAGCAGAAAAGTATATAATCGCAACGACCAATTCAAATCAAGCAATAAATAAAGAAGCAGCGTCAGTATATGTACTGGAAGACTCAATCGAAATGCTTGAGGAGCATGCTGAAGACATTCCACTAAATATGCTATCCGTTTAAGCTGATCATTTTGGATTAAATATTATGGAATATTACTAGTCACAAATAGAAGTAATAATTGAAAATGTAGCCAAATTTTAGTGAATAATATTTATTAAATACGTAAATATAGTAATAAAAAACATCATCATTGATGCCGTATACATTAAGCTACTTATGAAATATAATTAAGAATATATTAGGGTGTACTGCACTGCACTGCTCAACAGCCCTCCAACTCGGGTGGTATTGGAATGTCATTATGTGCCGCAAATTGCAGTAAGGCCTTGTATTTGTTCTTCCAGTTGGTTATGTCCTTGCGGCATTTTTCATTATCATCGTGCATGGTTTCCAGTTCAACCCATTCATGCGATTTTTCCGTCTCCAAGACATCCTTCTGTTCAATACGCTTGATACGGCAGCTAGCCGCATAACCACGATTTTTTAGCGTACGACGCCGTTGTTTCATACGCACAACTTCCTCCCGATTGAGTCCGCGTGACTTCAACGTGCGATTAAGGTCCCGCACGGATATGGAGACCAGTTCATCGTCGCTTATGTCGGGTATAGGACAGGGCGAAAGTGGTGCCTTTGTAAAATAAACAAAATTAAAGATGTTAGTAACTTCCTCTCATTCCTTGTTTTCACATAATTTGTGAGATTTTCTTGATAATTCATTGCATTTACGTAAATTTGATGTGTTACCATTGAAGACTTTCGTTCACGTCGGTGCTGTCCATCCATTTCGATTGCGCAGTGTCAAATTAGTTGACGTAGAAAAAGAGCAAGTTGTTTTTATTAAATTCTTGCCTTGAATATAACAAATTACAGCACTTACACCACAGATAAAACTTACACACTTCGAAATAGATATAAATACCTGAATATTAACTGCAAATGCAATTAAACTTTAGAAACTTCTCCAACAATATAAACAAGAAATTTACTAATAAAGCAGGTGAAAAATATATGACACCTTTTCACTTTTTATTATCAACAATAGCTGTAGGGTTGCTTCGGTAGGCGTTAAATGTGGTGAAGTAATGAAACTCACCTTTTGATATTGCCATTTTGTAAGTTTTGACAATTATAAATGATACAGTGGTGGATAATAAATTATTATAAAAAAAAATGCTGTACCGTTATAATTAAAGCTGAAAAACATAACCGGCCAACACCTGGCATCCAACGGAATAGATCTTTCAACCACTTTTTTCGTTTTTTGATTTTGAGACATAAGATAAGACTAGATAAGACCGATAAATGAGGAATGCACCGCGATCTTAGGTCTATTGTGCACTCTCCTAAATCACAAGGACTCACTTAGCCCCGGCCAATATTCTACCGTTTGCTAGTGAGGCTATCCCCATCCGGAAACATGTATCCAAGGGCTTTAATCCTGCGTTTACTGACTGCTGTGAGGTCGATTAGCAGGTGTTCCTGTGTTTCAGGCTATTTGTCGCAGAACCCGCAGTTAGTGCCAGAGTAGGTTAATTACAACTTTAAACCTGCTCAGTTTGTACTCCCCAATTAGCAACTTGGCATGTCGCATACCATGTACTCCTTGCCAATGCTTGCCCTGCCCACTCCTTCTTCTTTGCGGAGCAGTTCCTTTAAGGTATGGGGACCCAATCCAATGAAGGGTTCGGGTATTATCATATTGGTGGAGGCTGCGGAGCGTGTTAGATTGTCAGCCAGTTCGTTACCGGCTGCGTTACCTCTGTGACCAAGCAACCAGAGTAGGTGCACCTGGTTCCGTTCCGCTAGGCTGTTCAGCCGTTCTCGACACTCTCGCACTAGTAGCGATTTAATCTCGTAGGAGGAGATCGCTTATAGTGCCACCTGACTATCGCTAAGCAAATATCGCATTGCGCGGATAACCCAATATCGGTCCAATATTTTCGAGCCGTCGGTGTACCACCTCAACGTACTATTCCTCAGCATCAGTTCGAGAGTGGAGTCGTTCCACTCATCCTTGCTGCCGAGGGTAACCCTAAGTTTCTTTGTGAAGTTAACTGTTTTGGTAATGCTGTTCTTCGGGAGGAGGGCTAATGGTATATTGCCACTTATCTCTTCCATCCTCTGGGACGAGTTTACCTTGCCTTTGCCACACCCCTCTGCCGTTATTTGCAGAAAGAAGTGTGTGCTTGGCTACTTGACTGAACACTAAATGAAGCGGTGTGAGTTCAAGCAGGCCCAGTGCTGCCGTTGGACAAGTGCGCATTGCGCCCGTTATGCAGACACAGGCTAGCCGTTGCAGCTTCGATAGTTGGATCTCTACCGAAATTTGCGACGCTATTGAGGCCCAGGCCACCGCTCCGTACGTGATTATCGGCGGCATAATCAACATGTACAATATTTAATTCAACCCCACTACACCACCCCTTTCCCAGGATTAAACCTCTTTGTATTAGGTCGCAGAGAGTGTCCTCAAATTAACCTTTGGCTAACAAAATCTGAACCAGATTTGGCAGCAGAATCTGCTCCCCCTGTTGTAAAAGCTTCCACACAAAGACTTGAGTCCAATCAGTCAGTTTGTATGGCAACTATATCCTATATATATTGGTCCGATGACGTTGGTTCCGACAAAAATGCAGCTTCTTGAGGAGAAAAGGACGTGTGAAATGTTTCTGATCGGTATTGGACGTTGCTAAATAGACAAGGCGACTTTTGCTTTCTCCAGACTGGACAAGGAAGCAAAGCAAATGGGTCTGGCAGTGAATGAGGGCAAGACAAAATATCTCCTGTCATAGAACAAACAGTCGTCGCACTCGCGACTTGACTCTCACGTCACTGGTTATAGTCATAACTTTGAAGTTGTAGATAATTTCGTATATCTTGCAACCAGTATAAACACCACTAACAATGTCAGCGTGGAAATCCAAAGCAAAAGATAACTATTGCCCGACAGGTGCTACTTCGGACTGAGTAGGCAATTGCGAAGCAAAGACTCTCTCGACGAACCAAAACGAAACTCTATAAGTTACTCATTAGTCCCGTTCTGCTATATGGTGCAGAGACTTGGATGACAACAACTGATGAGTCGACGTTGCGAGTTTTCGAGAGGTTCTGTGGAAGCTTTATAGTCCTTTGCGTGTTGGCCACGGCAAACATCGCATCCGATGGAACGATGAGCTATATGAGATATACGACGACATTGACATAGTTCAGCGAATTAAGAGGCCGCGGATACACTGGGTAGGTCCTGTTGTCCGAATGGACGAAAGCACACCAACTCTGAAAGTATTTGAAGCAATACGCGCCAGGGGAAGCAGAGCAAGAGAAAGACCTTAACTGCGTTATAAGGACCAGGTGGAGAAGGAAACGACTGGCACGCTGTTGTTAACTCGGCTATAATCACGTAAGCGGTGTCTACGCCAGTAAAGAAGAAATAGATCTTATGGAACGAATACCGATTTCACACATGAATCCATAAAGCTTCAAGGAGTAACTTTATAAATGTTTTTAGAGTACCTCAACTTCATTTCTTATTTGATACTATATATTTAAAAAATTTGTTAGAATTAGTTTTCTATACACTATAAGGAGCAGAAAGTATATAGAGTTATATATACAATACTTAAAAATTTTATATCACAGTTAAGTTTCTAACAGTAATTATTTAAAAAATTAAAAAACAAGTCTTAGCCAAATGCCATGCGAAAGAAGGCGCCCATAGGCATATCGAACTCTGGTGCAAAATCCAAAATCGAAGCATCGCCACAGTTAAGTCGATAAGGATCACTCTCAGGTCGTATTTGCGATTGATGCGTCGGATAATCACATTGTAAACTGAAGAGTACGAAGAGTATGCCGGCAATTGCTGCGGGGAAGTATCCACCGAACGTATTGGACATTACGCGTTGTTGTTGGGTAAATAAACGTTTCAAATAAATGCTGTTTGTTGTTTAGCCGGTATGATGATGTTAGCCGAAATGAGAAATATCAATTGCCGGCATTCGTATTTATAGTTATGGCGGAGAACGCGCGAAAGTAATACTTGCGTGCTGATGAAGCTTTCGTATTTTCAAAATGTAATGTAATGTACTTATGTACGTATATATGTTACTGTGAATTTAAGCTCACTGCCATATACATGACATATGTATGGGTACATATCTACACATACATACATTTATGCTCATGAAGCTTCTGTTCACTCATATTTCGTATTTATGCAGAGGCAAGAATTTCAGTTGGCGTATGGGAAACACCCGACTTGGGAGTTTTCTTCTTTTAATTTTATGCTCTTAAGGAACACCATGGATCCATTAATGGGTTTGAAATTAACTAAGAATTCTTAATTATAAAGCGTAGATCAAAAGTGGGAGACGCAAAGAGGTTGAAGGAATTCGACCATGAAGCAGCGAATGTTTGGTCCTAAGCAAACAAAATTGCAAGGTATTCTGAGTTAATAGAGAAAGTAAGAGTATCACAAGTAAATCCGGGTTACTTTTCTCGAAAAATCTTTTGAAATTTATGTTTTATAAATATTTACATATATAAAATATTTTTTTAAAAATTTCATATTTCAAATATTTGTATATATCATCTGATCAAATTTGACCCGGACTGGTCCATTTAAACGCGCACGGAATTAATAAAAGGTGGCGTAAAATTTTGTGTGTTATCTTGGCCACGGAGGCAACAAAAATGGTGCAGAAGGGTTTCGGGGACTCTACTGTATTACGAGAGTATTATTTTAGTGGCACAAAGTATATGCTGAAATCATCGAAAACTTTCCTCATCCGAGTTGTCCATACATGATAATAAAGATGTCAATTAAATTATTCGACGGGTGTAGTTTTTGTCAGTCCGGGTCAAATTTGATCACATGGTATATTTGTTAAATAATGCCTAGTATAATATATGGAAAGATTTCTATTTGTTTTCCATTGTTTGTTTAGTTGTCAGGCATTTTTGTCAGTCCGGGTCATATTTCATCATATTGCCTCATCCAACTCGACCATCCGCGATAATATAGATTTGCATTAAATTACTCGAAACACTTTTGACAGTCCGGGTCAAATTTGATTTAAAAAAAATGGCTAATATGAAGTATAGTTAGATTTTGAGTATATTTGGAGCGGATTTCACAAAAATACTATTTGTGTTCATACTATTTGCTTTGGTAGTCAGGCCACGCCTACTTTTCAGAAAATTTCAAACTGATGAAACATGCCTTTCATCGCCGTAATCCAATTTAACAGTTTTAGTTTTTCTTGTTGCTTAATTAATGAGTGATTTATGTTACTTTTTATAACGGTTATTGTATTATCACTAATTTGTGGGTGCGGTAATGGTCCGACTCTGCGCGTATGCAATAACAGCTTTCTCATGGCGGAAAGAAACCTCTGCAACAGAACGTACCGACTGACTGGCTAAATCAATTAATCTATTTTACATGAGCATTTTTATAGAATACATATGTACATCTCTCGTGCTATAAGGTGTTACAAAGAAACGCTAGGCGATTAAGATCAGTTGACGTACATACATACATACGTACTTCCAGATTTACATACATACATATGTATATCAAGCAATCGCTCGCACTGGACAAACATGCCTACACAAGGTTTAGAGCAAAGCAAGAAATTGTTTGTATACTTCATGCATGCATGTGTAGGAATACTAGTGTAAACAGACCCACACACATACATACTTACTACAAGTATGTAAATTTGTTATTGTGTTTAATTAGCACTAGACTTTGTTTGGAGCACTCATGTGGGGAAACTTATGACGTAAGTATGAATTTGTGTATGCATTTTTAAACAATTTCATTGCAAATTAGCAGCAGCACTTGCAAGTTCATTCACGCTCACTATCGCTACAACTAAAACAATAATGAATGAAAATGAATTTGCGATTGTTTACTAAGAATTTTTAATATGGAAATGCAAAAGCCACGTTTGTAAACAGCTTTGCCATGTTATCAATACACGAGAGTATATTCGTTATAACTGTTATGTATAAA